AGCTGCCCAGGACAGACTTCTATGGGTCTATGTTCTTTCTTCATCCCCCTTCGATAGAAGGGGAAACTGAGGCTAATTCATTCAGTCACGCGGACATTTGTAGACTGTCCACAGTGTCACAGCACTGGAGAGTCCAGGGTGGAAAAGACCAAAGCTTTGCCTTCCAGAGGGGGAACCTCGGAAATAGTAAACACAGGGACATGTAGATGAAGAGGGCAACCGGAGAATGTGGTCAGGCCTGTGGAAGGGAGAAGGGCTGCTTTCCGCAGGGAGGTCAGAAAAGGTTTCTAGGCGAGGGGAGCATCGGAGATGAGAAGCCGCGGGAAGGGGAAGCATTCTAGGCCGGGGAAACAGCAAACGCAAAGGCCTTGGGGCACCGACAAATTTGGTGTGTTCAGAGAACAGAAAGGAGCCACTGTGGCTGGTTGTTTGGTGGGCAAGGGCAACGTGGCCTCAGTGAGAGGGAGGCAGGGCTTGGGTCTGCAAGGACCTGAGGCTACGACGAGGGGTTGGGTGTGTTTTCATTGTCAGAAGCTTTTAAGTCCTAGAGTGCCTCAAGCAGATCCCAGCAAATGTGTAAGTTGGGGAGGGGGGCAGGGGGCAGGGGAAGAGGGTGCTGTCGTGGGCCAGAGCTGTCGGGGAGCCTGGCCCAGGGCTTTCACAGTGGGGAGGAGAATGGTGGGCTTCAGGGGGGACATTTCGGAGAAAAGTCCCCGCAAGACTTGCTGGCGGATGGGATGTGGAGGGTGAAGAAGGGGGACTCAAGGCTGACGTCAGTGTCTTTGACTCAGGGTGGGTGTCGCTGCCATGATCGGAGGACAGGAGGAGCAGGTGTGGGGGGCGAGGGTAAGATCAGGAGCTTGCTTTTGAACACGTTCAGCCTGAAGTGCAAGGTGGGCATTGTGGCGATGCCAGCCGGCAGCTCAGGGGAGGCCAGGCTGGAAACGTAACTTTGGAAGTCGTCCATCCCAGTAGAGGTGGGATTTAAACCCATGGAGTGTAGATGAGATCATCTCGGGGTAGATGCAGCCAGAGGAGTTGGGGGGGGTCCCAGGACACCCCAGCATTTTGTGAGCAAATGCCTGCTGCCCCGGGCCACCCTCAGTCTGCCCCTGGCTACGTGCCCCCTCCCTGTGACCCCTGTCCAGTCCCAAGAGTGGGGTGGCCTGGGGCACGCTTTCAGGGTCCGCTCCCCTCGCTCTGGTGCCGGGTAGGCTGACAAGTGGGTAGCGCCCACCCTCCCTGCCTTCTTGGCCCCTGGGGAGGCCAAGGCCGGTGGGAACGTGGCAGAGGGGCTGAGGGCTCGGGCTCTGGAATTGGACCTGGGCTTGTAGCTCAGCTCTGCCACTTCCAAGCTGAGTGGCCTTGGACATGGGTCTTAAACCCTGCTCAGCTGCTATTTCCTCATCTGTAAAATGGGGATAATTTTACCTTCAGGGTAAGGCCTGGCACAGGGGACGTGCCCGTTCTATTCCAGAGGCACCGGCTGGGAGGCAGGCCGGCAGGTGCAGGGAGGGCAGGCGGTGTGGTGAGTGGGCCTCTGCTCAGAGCCCAGGAGGAGGCTCTGAGAGGCAAGGTTTTGGGTTTCCCTAGTGATTCTGCCTACGCCTGCTCAGGCTCCCTGCTTCCTATCAGTCTTCTTGCCCCTTTCTCTACGTTCTCATCCCAGGCTCGGGCTCGGTGCTGGGCTCTGGCCTCTGAGAGCCCCTCTTTTGGTCAACCCTCCCTCCTCCGGTGGGGGATAGCCCACTCCCCATTACTAAACTCTGTCTCTTCTTCTGAACACATTGGGATACACTTGAATGGTTCCATTCCCCAGATTTGGAGACTGAGGCCAAAGAGGATTACGAGATATCTGAGACATCGTAGGTAGAAAGCCACTGACTGGAGGGGACAGAGGGGCCTGACATTTGCTTGGCACTTACAGTGTGCCAGGCCCTGGCTATACAGCTGTGAGCAAGAAGGACTCATCCCTGTTTTGGGGGGCGGGGGGGAGGCTCACAGCTGAGCAGGACAGACACTAAATGACACAGAGAGCTCTTTTGTTGTGTGGGCCCCCTGGGGAGGTGGCATTTGAGGCTGGACATGAACAAGAAAGGGACCTGGTTGGGCAAAGAGGTGAACTCCAGGCCCAGGGTCGCTGAGTGAGGGAGGAGTGGAGGCCCCAGTGAGACCAGGAAGGCCGGGAGGCACTGGTGGCCCCTCAGCAGCCACCCCCCGCCCCCCCCAGAAAGCCAACTCACTGCCAGGCTGCCATCCCGTGGCCCAGCCTCCATAGGCTCAGAGCCGGTACCTGCCAAACACACGTCTATGACTACACTCGTGTGCTCAGCCCAGGCCCGAGAACACCTTTTCCAAACCCCCACCCTACCCAGTGGCCCCAAGGAGTCGGGAGTGAAAGGTGACTCTGGCAGACAGCCTCTGATCCTGGCCCCAGTAGCATCGAGTTTCCCAGGCCTTGGCCAGGGTCAGAGGTTCAGAACCTCGGGGGAGGAGATGCATGGGGGCCGTTGCCCAGGAGGCCCGTCCAGGGCACCGTGTTATCGGGCGTGGAACACGAGCAGGAATAGGGGCCCACGTGCCATGTGTCTACATATCCCAGTTAAAATCGAGCTAAGGGACTGCCAAACACAACACATTCTGTCCTCCCACCAAAGGTACCTTCAGAACGACCTGGCAGACTGGGTTTGAATTAGAATCTCAGACTCCTCAGAGTCCCGCGATGGGAGGTAGAGTGTGGGGACAGGTGACCTCTCTCCCCGAGCTGCCCCTGCCCCTTGATGCAGCCTGCAGCACAAGGGGCCTCCAGGCTCCCATGCGGACAGCCAGCCCTCGCATCTGAGCTCCATCCGTGGTGCCAGAAAGGATCCCCGCCTAGGCCCTGGGGACCCCCCAGCAGTAAGGTCAGACCCTGGGGGAGGGCTTGAGACCCACAGGAAATTCCAGAGCCCTCCAGTGTGGCCTACGAAGGGGACCTAGGCTCCAGCTGGGCACCGACCCCTGGCCTCTCCTTGCTCTAGAGATCCAAAGAGGGACTCCCTAGGGGCGCCTGGGTGGCTTAGTCGGTTAAGCGTCTGACTTTCGCTTAGGTCATGATCTCACGGTTCGTGGACTTGAGCCCCGCGTCGGGCTCTGTGCTGACTGTCAGCTCAGAGCCTGGAGCCTGTTTCAGTCTGTGACTCCCTCTCTCTCTGACCCTCCCCTGCTCACGCTGTCTCTCTCTCTGTCTCCTAGAAATTTAAAAAAAAAAAAAAAGTTAAAAAAAACAACAACAAAGAGGGACCCCCTAAAGGATTGGGCAGGGGCCCTGGTTCCCCATGTCCAAGGGCAGTGCTGATTATTTTCATGGAACCAGAGGCAGACTAGCATCCTGGGTTTTCAAATGGCGAGATGGCTCAGAGAGGGTAGGGGCCTGCCTGAAGCCCCACAGCAATGGAATTAGAGGCAGGACAGGAGCGTGCCCCGGTCTCCTGCCTCTGGGTCAGTGTCCACCGTCTTTACCCCAACACGTGTGTGTACGTAACACGCCCCTCGGCTTCCCTGCTGCTCTCTCCAGTTGTGTCTCTGGACTCCCACCCCTCCCTGGACTGAAATCCGGGAAAGGAACGGGAGCTGTATGCGGAAGGCAGCTCTGGCACCAGGCGCCAGGGAGAAGGACTGTTGGCCTTGGAAGGTGTCCAAGGAAGTGGCATCTTCCCACTGCCCTGGCCTAAGGCTCCCGGACCAGCCTCCCCTCCTGCGTTATCCTCCTCATGCGAGTCAGGCCCGAGCCCTGTGGGTCCTGCCTCCGGTCCAGCCTCAGCTGCACCCACCTTGGTCTTAGCCCCTGGGGCAGCCTTGCCTCGTGCTCCCGTTCTCCACCCGACAGCACGGACCTCTCTGTGGCCTCCCAATCTGACCCCCTCTGCTTAAAGCCCTTCCCGGCCCCTGCCCTCCAGCCAGAGGCCTCGCTCCTGCTCCTGAGTTGGGCCCCTGAGGCCAGCCTGCTTACCCAGCCTCACTCCCCCTCCAGCCTCTCCCTGCAGGTGCGCCCTAGTTTATGGGGAAAAAAATGGGTCCTCGTCTTCACTGTGCCTTCGTCTTCCGCTCATCCTCAAAGTCTCACATCCGCCAATACCTCCTCCAGGCTGTCTTCCCTGACCATCTTCTCCCCTATGACCCCACCCTCGGTGTGGGGGGTGAGGCTCAGTCTTCTCCCAGGATGAGGGGCTGCAGAGGAAGAGAGAGGCCACTGCCTTGGGCTGAGGGCTCCCACAGACAGCAGTTCCGGGTTACTATGAACATTTTACCTGTTTATTAGTGCCCCGCCCCTTCATGACTCTGGCTCAGGTACTTCTGGTCTGAGTGCAGGGGAATGAGGCCACCAGCCAGGATGGGGAGAAAAATCTCAGCAGGTGAGGGCACACTCACCTCTGACCCGAGTCTCAAATTTGAAGGAATGAAATGCTCACTAGCACACACACAAGGCACCTCGTCCGCGAGCGCTCAGATGGCTCTTACGGCACCACCAACGGGCACCCTCTGTTAGATTCTACCGCAGCCAGGATCTCAGCAGCCCTGTTAGGGAGCTGCTGGGTTGTGCCCATTTCACTGATGCGGAAACTGAGGTTCAAAGCAAGGAAATAATTCAGAGGTAGCACTAAGATTCCTTCCCATCAAGCTGCTGGTGATAATAAGCATCCAGAGGTAGCCCCATATTGAATGACTTGGTGAATGTCCTTGATGAGCTGTTCGGCAAACAGAGCCCCTACTTAAGTGGACTGGAGCCCAGTGCGTGTATGGGCACGTGAGGGGTACCTGACCTCGTCTCTCATCCCACCAGCCTCACACAGCTTCACAAGGAGCAATCAAGAGGACACAGGGGACACCTAGCGGGCTGAGTCAGTAAAGAAGACGACTCTTGATCTCGGGGTCGTGAGTTCAAGCCCCACGTTGGGTGGAGAGATTACTTAAAAATAAAACCTTAAAAATAAAAAGCGGGTGCAGATTTCTTAAACAGCTTTATTGAGGCATAAATTGCATGCCATAAAATTCACCTGCTTGTGGTGCACAGCTCAATGGTTTCTTAGTGTGTTTACACAGTTGTGCAGCCATCATCACAATCTAATTTTAAAACGCTTCCATCACCCCAAAAAGAAGCCTCGTGATGATGCAGATTTCCAAGTGCCTGGCAGAGCCCCTGGCCGGCGGCGCGCGATCAATCAGTGTTTGCCACGATTTTTTATCGTAAATGATAAAATGTTTACAGTGGAGAGCCCCAGGTTTTGGGGTGATGGTTGCTCTTTATTTTTAAACATTTTTGTGTATTTTCTGAATATGTTTTCAGAGGGAGAACATACGACTTTTATAAGTAGGAGGCAAAAGAGAAATCTATTTCCATCTTGAAAATAGAAAGTCATCAACACTTGAAGGAAGGGAGGGAAGGAAGGGAAGAAGGAGGGAATGATAAGGAGGCAGGAAAGATCATAGATTTTCTTTAGCAGGGAGAATGGTTGCTGAGGGGAGAGTGCGTACTCAGAGTCCAGACCCCTGAGTGCCGGTCCTGGCGCCCAGTTACCAACTTGCGCTATGATCTTGGACAACAGTCTTTCCCGCCTTGCGCCTCAGTTTGCACACCTACAGAATGAGGGTGATGGAGGAAAACTGGTGAAGCTCATCTTCAAATCATTCTTTTGGCCAGCAGGGCTGTCCCGGGTGCCAGCTGCCTGCCCTGCTCCATGCTGGGGGCTGGGGACACTGTGGTAAGCAGCACCGGCCCAGTCCCCGCTCTCTGGACATCAGAGCATCGGGAGAAGCCTGGCCAGGACTGCCCTGAAATGTTCAAACCTCAGCTGGAAATTCACGGGCTGTGTGATGTGGGCATGCCTGGGGCCTCCTGGGATAACAGGAACAGAGAGGGACTTGTTGGCTGGAGGCAGCCTCACCTCCTCCCAACTGTATTTCTTGGCCCACCCACTCCCTTGCCTCCACCCCTGCTCCGTGGTTCAGAGGGCACCTCAGAGCCTGCCTGCCTCCCTTGCCTTCCGCTTTTCAGGGGCAAGATCTGGCTGGAAATATCCTGGCCCACCCGCCCACTCTTCCGCCCAGCCCCCAGGGGACCCACCTTCCAACTCCCTCCCTGATGCAGCATTTGGTGGGAGCCCAGCCCGGGTTCTCAGCTTGCTCAACAAGTTACATTATTTATAACCATAATAGCTACCATTTATTCAGGCATCCAGTTATATAAGCCTCACAGCAACCCATTTTACTGATGTGGACACTGAGGTTCAGAGAGGTACAGTCATTTGTGTACAAGCACCCAGCTCCTAAGTGGCAGTTCTGACATTCAACGCGGGGCCTAGCGCAGGAAACTGGAGGCTTAGAAGAGACTGGGTCCAAACACGCTGTCTTCTGGTGGTGTTTGCATTCAACAGGACGGGGAAGCAGGGTCCCTGAGCTCTGGCCCCAGATCTCAGGGATGAGAGTAGAGTAGGGGAGGGCCCCTTTGGGCGTTTAGTGTACTTTCCCCAGACCCCTCTGGGTGTGACAGTGCCGATGGAGGCAGGGAGCCTGTGGCACCCGGGGGTCCTGAGGGGCGTGCACTTCATCCCCCTGGTGCTTAGGTTTGAAGGTGCCTCTGCAGATGGCAAGGCAAGGCCTCCTCGGGAAGCCACCATCTGTCCAGAATGAGTTGGGAGAGCTGGCATGCCACCACGCACCCCTCCCACATGGCCCCCGAGGCTGGTGGGCCCAGCATGCTTTTCTCTGGGCACCTGTTCTGTCCTCCCTCAGCCTAAGCAGGAGCTGGGTGGGAGGTGCAGGGTGGCACTGGCTGGAGGCCAGATCAGGCCCGCGCCCCCACTTCGTCAGAGCGCTGCGGGACAGTGTGTCCGGGTGGGAAGCAGGAGGCATGGCGCTATTCAGCCAGACTTGCTCCTTCGAGCATCGCCTGAGCACCTACGGTGTGCCAGGCCCCTCGTGAGCGCGGGAGTCCAGCGGGGAGCAAGGAGCTCACAGTCTGGACATGCGAACCCGCAGGTGCTCTTTGCTGCCTGCCCGGCCTTGGAGCCCTTGACCCCCGCTCGGCCACCTCCCTCATCACACCTCCCTGCCCCTCGCTGGGCCTCTGTCCCCACCCCTGGACAATGATGGGGGAATGACATGGCCTCTGAAAACTTCTCTTCAGTGTTCATCATTTCTGTCTAACACTTCATGGTCAGAATCCCAAGATCCAAGTCAGTGCCTGGAGGAGGCGGTCAGAGGGTTCTGTGGGAACTTGCGTTCCTTGGTGACATTTGGGAACCCTCCTAGAGAGGGGGGCTGCTGAGCGCCTACTGTGTACCAGACCTAGGGGAAGCTCTTTTCATGCCCCCTCCCCCTCGCCCCTGAAGCTGCTGGGCCTTCTCACAGCCCACATGTGGTAGACGAGAATGCCTGGTTTCTATAAGGCCAGTTTGCAGCAGAGGGCTTTGAGGCCCAGAGAGTGAAGTACCTTGTCCAAGGGCACCAGGCCGCAGAATGGCCAAGATGGGATTCGAGCCCAGGGCCTAACCCACTGGCTCCTAACCACTGAACTTGAAAGGGAGCAGGAAAATAACATGGGGATCATGCTTAAAATCCAGATTCCCTCTCTCCTCCCCTGCCCCACTAGATCCTACCCCAGTGTACCTGAGGATCGTGCATTTTAACAAGCTGCTCGTGCAGGCCGTGTGAGGGCCTTACCCTGAGAACCTGGGCCGTGGCAGAGACGGGGCCTCTCCCAACCCGGGCACCTCCATCCCCACCCTGGCCCCACAAGATCCTGCTCTGAGGAGGGGCTCGACTCCCACACATAGCCCTGCCCCTCTAATCTCTGCTTCCCTTAAGCTGCTTGTCCCTAAAGTAGCCCTGGGGAGGCAGTGACTTGGGGCACGCCACGCTGGCCCAGACCCCTGACCGCCCCTCCAGCGGGGCCCTGGGCTCCCCGTACCCCCTAGGCGGCACCTCATTGACCTCTGACCTGCAGATGGCCGGGGGCCCAGCAGGCCCGTCTGTGCAGGGGAGGCCTCTCAGGAAAGAGCTCCAGGGAAGGTCCGTGTGTCTGCGTGGGGGGCTTTCTGTGGGGAGTCCCGTCCTTTCCAGCCCCTCCTGTAGTTTCCATGGCAACTACTGTTGCCATGGTATTGCTGGGTGAGGAGCCAGTGGGGAAAAGGGTGGACCCCAGGCCCCCATGCCCAACCCAGCCTCTGTGAGAACAAATGTCCTATCTCCACAGCCCTGAGGGATCCCAAATACTAGAGGGTCAGCCCCCCTCAAAGGAATGTGTAAAGGATGACAGGAGCCACCCGCAACTCCCGTTAATCCCCTCCTTCTCTCCGCTGGCTGGTGCACCTCCTTTCCAGCACATGTCACACTGTATTGCATTATCTGTTTACTTGTCTGTCTCTCCCACCACACTGTGAGCTCCTCCTCTGGGTAGGGAGCCGTCTGACTCATCATCTCACTTCCCCAGGGCCCAGCACAGGGCCTGGCACAGAGCAGCTGCTCCCAAATATGTCCTAGACTGAATTTAATTGAATTACATAAAAAGCCAAGTCTGGCTTCTAGGATTGAAGGAGCAGCAAACTTTGACAGGGAAGCTCCCAGGCTCTGGAGCCCAACAGACCCTTGGGTTTGAATGAATCCTAGCTCTGCCATTCCCATCCGGATGACCTTGGACAGGTCCTCTGAACCTCGGTGGCCTCATCTGTAAAATACTTTCCCTATCGGAGCACTGTTTGGAGGACCTGGGGATTCAGTCAACATTTATTAAGGACCTCTTGGGTGCTAAGCCTTGGGCTGGGCAGTGGGATCCAGTGGTGGACAGACACATGCCAGCCCTGCCCTTCTGAGGCTCAGTCTTGCAAAAATGAAAAGTGCTTGCGTAGCACCTGGAAATGATGAATAAATGCAGGATTCATCATCCTTCTCCTTCCTCATTGAAGTGGCTGGCCCCTCCCTATTAGCCTCTAACCTCCCCAAAGGAGGGGCAGGCTGAGAACAAGGGGTGGAAGAGGTCTCCCCAGGGCCCAAGGGGAGGCCTTGAACCCAGGAGCTTGGGCCTACTCTGTTGTGCCCAGGACCCTCCAGGCTGGGGAGTGGGGGCCGGGGGTGGTGGTGGTGAGAAGCTGTGTGGTTCCGGTCAGGCTCTGAGCTGGAGGTCGGAGACCTGGGTTCTTTTCGAGCTCTGTCCAAGTCCTTTAGGAGCTCGAATGTGGCTTTTCCCCTTCTTGGGCCTCCATGTGCCTCTCCATGAATGAGGTGGCCAGATGGAGCCCTACGGCCCCTCAGGCTGTAGCCTGCTCCCCCTTGCCCTGGGTCCTGGGGATCCCGTGACTGCAGTTCTGACAGCCTGGTCCCTGAAGAGAAACCCACCCTCATGCTTGGGCTGGCCTGGGTGGGGCCGGGGGTGGGTGGGGAACATGAGAAGAGCGGATGGGACAGAGATTCCACCCACAAGAGTTAGCCAGAAGGACTGCTGAGGTTCACATTAGCACAAGCGGATATCTGAGGTATAGACATCAGGTCTAGGGCAGGGGGTGACTTTGGGAGCCCTCGGGTCCAGTCCTTCAAAGACTGGGTCTGCAAGGGACTGAAGGGCAAGGAGCACTCACTGCAGAGTCAAACAGATCTGGGTCCTGGGTCCGCTCTGCTAGGTACTGACTGCACAGCCTGAACACCTCTGAGCCTCAGCTTCCTTATCTGCAAAATGGAGATAATAATAGCACCTGCCTCACAAGGGAATATCATGAGATATTGCCCACAAAGAGCCTGGCATGCAGTAGGCACTTAGAAGCATGAATTCTTTTCCTTGCCTCCTCCTTCCCCCCATCCCCCCTCATCCTCAACCCCAGCCAGATGGGGCCCTGGGAAGGGGAAGTGAGATGCTGCCTTTCCCCACAGCGGAAGGGAGGGAAGAAGGTGCAGCTCCATTTCCTTGAGATGCATGCACTCTGTGGCCACTGCACACTTGGGCATGTGGGGTACCCGTGCCTCAGGGGGACGGCAGTGCCGGGGTTGAGGCAGGGACTTGTTGGCCCAGAAACAACACAGGGAATACGTGAGAGAGAGATCTGGGAGTCATTAGTCTTGTCTCCTGGCAGCTCACATGCATAAATCTGTGACCCAGGGTACCTGGGGGAGGTCCTTTCCACCTTTCTTGCCTGTCATCTCCCCTTAGTGACCTGAAACCCTCAGGCTAAGGTGTGGTGGGCACTTTAGGAGAGCGCTGCAGCTCCCAGTGGCAGTGACAGGTGACAGGTGCCCCTGGGACAGGCTTTGACCCTCCTCTCGCTGCTCCCAACTCATTGCAGAGACTTCCTGCCCCGAGGGTCAGGCATCGTCACCCGACGCCCCCTGGTCCTGCAGCTGGTCAATGCCACCACAGGTATGCGCTCTCATCCACCAGCATCCCGACCCGGTCTCTTCAGTCCCCTACCCTATCCCCAAGGAAAAGTCCAACCTGGCCGCTGAACTTGCTTGCTATGTGACTTTGGCCCGCGATTCCCCAGCTGGACAACGGGAATAAAAACGCATAACGTTAGACATGGCGTTGTTGTGGAGAGGGAGGGGGGAGGAGGCGGTATTTGGGGGTGTGTGGGGGTCTATTACCAGTGGAAGATGCGTCCCAGGTGGGCTCTGGGCTAAGATGCTTACTCCTCCACCCTTCTTCCCTCCACGCCACCCACCCTTTGGGGGCAGAATATGCCGAATTCTTGCACTGCAAGGGGAAGAAATTCACTGACTTTGAGGAGGTGCGTCTGGAGATCGAGGCTGAGACGGACCGAGTCACTGGCACTAACAAGGGCATCTCGCCGGTGCCGATCAACCTCCGCGTCTACTCGCCGCACGGTGAGGAGACGTGGCCCCGCCCCCGGGCTCCTGGCGCCCTCGCTTAGCTCCGCCCCCGGGACGGTCTTGGCCCCACCCCTTGGCTCGTTCCTTTTTCCGCGGGCTCCGCTCCTCCTGCAGACTCCGCCCCCACAGCGACCCCTCCTCTGCTCCTCCTACCCCCAAGCTCCACCCTGCCGTCCCTGTGGCCACGCCTCTAACCGGCCGCCGCTTCAGTCCCGCGTGTCCCTAATCCCGTCCACCTGCCGTCAAACTGCCCAACGAATCCTCTGTGAACCCCGCCCTGTTCCCTAATCCGCCCGCCCACGGCCACGCCCCTCGCCTCGAGCCCGCCCTCTCGCCGCCCTGTCCAGTGCTGAACCTGACACTGGTGGACCTGCCCGGAATGACCAAGGTCCCGGTGGGGGACCAACCTCCTGACATCGAGTTCCAGATCCGGGACATGCTCATGCAGTTCGTCACCAAAGAGAACTGCCTCATCCTGGCTGTGTCCCCAGCCAACTCCGACCTGGCCAACTCCGATGCTCTCAAGGTGGCCAAGGAGGTGGACCCCCAGGGTAGGTTCCTAAGGGCAGCAGAAGTGCAAGGCCCTGGGGGTCTACGCTCAGTGCCCGGCGGGGGGCGCTGCTCTGTGAAGAATGAATGAGGCGGGAGAGCGGGGGCAGGCAGTGGATGAGGCAGGGTGTGGGTAGGGAGATGTGGGGAGCGCGAGGGCAGTGGGGTGCATGTGGGCTCCTGTGCGAGGGCAAGTGCCCGTGTAGACGGTCCTCTTCTGCTGCCCGCCGCCCCCCCCCAGGCCAGCGCACCATCGGGGTCATCACCAAGCTGGACCTGATGGACGAAGGCACAGATGCCCGTGATGTGCTGGAGAACAAACTGCTCCCCCTGCGCAGAGGTAGGCCGGCTCCCCTCCTGACCCGCCCCACCCACCCTTCCCTGTCACCCCACCCCGTGCAAGCCTGGTTGCCCCTGACTTGGACCCCCTTCCACAGGCTACATCGGGGTGGTGAACCGAAGCCAGAAGGACATTGATGGCAAAAAGGACATCACCGCGGCTTTGGCCGCTGAACGCAAGTTCTTCCTCTCCCACCCGTCCTACCGCCACTTGGCTGACCGCATGGGCACGCCTTACTTGCAGAAGGTCCTCAACCAGGTAGGACCCCAGGCCTGGGGAAACCAGCATGAGGACAGAATCATTTACATGTGTTTTTGTGAGAGTGACCAACAGAGGTTAGCGTCGGTATCATGCGTCTGACCTGAGACCCAGAAAACAAAGCAACTTGCCCACAGCGCCACCATGAGGTAGCACCAGGGCTTTGCTGGCTTTTCCTGACCGGGGCCTGGAAAGGGTGCCCTGAGCCCCTGCGGGGGAAGAGACCACTCAGACCTTGTGTGGAGGGTGACACTGACAAGGGCTTGGGTTTGGGGGCCATTACTAGAGTGTACTTGGCCGAAGACCTTGCTTCCTTCTGAAATGGAAAGAGGCCCATCTGGAGACAGGGATGGGCGATCCCAGGGTCTTCCCTAGGATGTTTCTCCATCTGGAATGGAGCTTCCAGAACCGAGGCATGTGTGTATGTGCGTATGTGTGTGTGTGATGATGGAAGGGAGGCAGTGGGGAAAGCAGGATGGTGTAGGGGCAGAAGTGGGGACTCTGGAAGCCACAGACCTGGCACTCGAGCTCTCTGAACCTCTATTTCTGCACCTGTAAAATCGTCGTGATGGTAATAGGGCCCTGATTCATAAGATCATTGTGCAGCTTCAGGGAGATACTGTGTGTGGGGAGCTAGCCAGAGGGAGCCCCAGAAAGTGAGACTTCCCTCAAGGGAGGCCTAAACCCAGAGGGTACAAGGGGGCGGCCCCCCAGCCATCCCCGCCCCAGACACATTTATTTGGCCCCCATGGTGTCTAAAAATATTGTTAATCAAAAATCAGGTAATTTCAAATAAAAATCTAGACTTCTGGCTTCTATTGAAAATTGTGTTATTCATAACGCTCATGAATTTAGTTAATACACCCACTACTGTATGCCAGGCCCTGCCCTGGGCAGCTTTCCTTCTCATGGGCAGGGCGATGGCCGCCTTCATCAGTTCTCAACCTGACCACACCCACAGGCTCCCTGGCATCCTGGTCCCTGCTTGGTCCTGGGGGCATCTGCCAGTGGTGCCCACGACCTTAACCCTTGTCTCATCCCTCCCCAGCAACTGACCAACCACATCCGGGACACCCTGCCAGGGCTTCGGAACAAGCTGCAGAGCCAGCTACTGTCCATCGAGAAGGAGGTGGAGGAGTACAAGAACTTCCGGCCTGATGACCCCGCGCGCAAGACCAAGGCTCTGTTGCAGTGAGGCCCTCTCCCGAGTCCTGACTCCTGGGCACTGAGCTGCCCCTCCAGCACGGGGTTCGCCCAGGGCGCCCTCCACTAGGCTACTGACGTCACACCACTCTCCCCCCCCAGGATGGTCCAGCAGTTTGCCGTGGACTTTGAGAAGCGCATTGAGGGCTCAGGGGACCAGATCGACACCTATGAACTGTCAGGGGGAGCCCGCATCAACCGGATCTTCCATGAGCGCTTCCCCTTTGAGCTAGTCAAGGTAGGACAGTCTCCCCAGGGGCGGGGGGCGGGGCTTAGAACTACCCACCCTTCCCCCAGGACTTTCACACCAATCTTTGCTGACCTGGCACCCAGCCTTGGGTGTGGGGCGTTGGCCTTCCAGGGAGGAGGAAGGCCCTGACCAGCTGTCTCTTGCTCTCCCACACAGATGGAGTTTGATGAGAAGGAGCTCCGAAGAGAGATCAGCTACGCCATCAAGAATATCCACGGCATTAGGCACGTATTGGGACTGGGGAAGGGGGCTGAGCCCTGGAAGGCAGGGGCTGTAGTGCGAAGAAGGCACAGGGAGCGATGAAGTGAGCCGCCCTCAGAAAGGACCTAGAGCTCTGGTCCCCAGTCCCCTCAACCCCTTCTGGCTCCCAGCTCTAATGGGCTGGAGCTGGGGGAGGTGGACGGGAGGCCTGGGCCCCTCCCTCCGCAACCTGCTGTCCTTCTTTGCTGCCCCTGGGAGCAGGGCCTGGAGGCTGGACCAGGTGGGCAGAGCCCAGGACGTAGGTGGCTGAGGCCTGGGCCCGTGCCCATCCTCAGGATGAGATAGCTTCTCTCCGCCGCCCCCCCTCCCCCCTCCCGCCGTCCTATCCAGGTAGCAGCACAAAGCTGCCAGACCACTGGGGAGGGCCTGGGATGGAGCATCGAGGTGTTGCTCTGAGTCCTTTTATGATAAGACAGGGCCTCTCAACCTCCAGATCCTCCTGTCGTCCCATTAGCCTAAAGTGGGCCCCATTCCACACCACTCTCCTCCTTCTAGCTAACCCCACTGCCTTTGGAACAGGAAGGGGGAACTGGAAAAAAAAAAAAGCTTAGCCCCCTTCAAGGACCCAGATCGACACTGTTCATTCGACAAGAAAATTTAAAGCAGCTGCTACGTGCCAGGCAGTGAACAAGACCAAAATGTCCCTGCTTTTATACAGGTTCAATTCCAAGGTTTGGTATGGAATTTACAGACTGATAACTGCATTGGCCAAGGCACAGAAAAAAAAAAATCTCACTCCTCATCTTAAAATAAAATGTTTTATTCCCAGAAAGGCTCTTAAAGAGAACTCAGTTTGGCATTTTTCATACCATTTCTGGCCATAGAACCTTTATTATGAACAGAATCTTAAGAGGAAGCTGGACGTATATGACAATTATAAGCAGACATTGTCTTGCGCCAAAGAGCATCAATGGAAAGTCCTTCGTTCGAATCTCTCCTGCCCATTTTACAGATAAGGACACTGAAGCCCAGAGAGGGGTAGTGGGAAGACCCTGAGGGCAGAGTTCAGGGGGTCGGGGTGGGGCCCTGACCTGGCACTCCTGGTGCCAGCTGGCCTGTGACACTGTGCCCTTCTCCCGTTCCGGGCGTTCAGAACGGGGCTCTTTACCCCAGACATGGCCTTTGAGACCATTGTGAAAAAGCAGGTGAAGAAGATCCGAGAACCGTGTCTCAAGTGTGTGGACATGGTTATCTCGGAGCTAATCAGCACGGTTAGACAGTGCACCAAGAAGGTAACCCGGTGGCCCGGGCCAGCCCTCCCCCCCTGCCTCTGCCCCCACCCTGCACTGCTGCCAGGCGCTCCTTTCCCACACCCCCCACTGCCTCCTCGGTAGCATGTACAGACCTCAGCGGGGTGGGGGAGGCAAGCCACCATAGACCAAGATGGGGGGGCCTCTCTGAGGGGGCCTTACTCACCCCCTGGCCCCCAGACAGGTGTGATGGTGGCTATTGTCCTAAGAGCCCACCAAGAGCTCCCCCAGCTCAGGGAAACTAGGCCTTGAAGGGCCCCAAGCCCCCTTCCTGCTCTCAGAGGTGAGGTCATCTCCGGGGGCTTCAGGGAGAGGACTTGGGGACACCTTGGCCCTGCAGACAGATGAGTTACAGGACCCACTTGGGTGCTGCTCTGGGGATCTGGATGGTCAGAGGGGTGCAGAGGACCCAGGTCTGGCAGGTACCTGACTCCCCATTCGTCCTTCATCGGCCCCCATTCTCACGCCAGCCTCACTCAGGACCCTGTCCTTCCCTTACATCCACATCCAACCTTCCAGGGACAGAACCCTCTTCCATCTGTTGTGTCATCTGAGCCTCACAGAACCACCCAAGGAGGGCAGGGCGGGGCAGGGAGGATGGCACCCATGTCACAGCAGGAAAACTGAGGCTTAGGAGATCAAGTGACTTGTCCAAGGTCATATGAGCTAGCAGGTGGCAGAGCTGTTACTCAAAGCCAAGGCTTTGGACTCCAAATCCAGTGCTTGTTTGATTCCACCCCTAGCCTCCTTTCCTTTCCTCTCCCCACTACTGCCCTGGCCCCTCTCTACAACCACCTCCACTCTTTCTGTCTTTCCTCTTCTCTCTTTCTGTCTTTTCCA